GTGATAAGGAGGGAAAAGGTGCTGCAGGGTTGCACCCTTGAACTTCGTGTCTGTTTGGAACATGCCAGATCCGAGTTCCCTCATTTCAGCAGTAACGGGGAGTCTGTGGCTCAGAGTGATGAGCATCACCCTTCCCTTGCACTGTCAGCGAATCACAGGAACTGTATTTATCCAACACCTGCCTGCATGCCAGTACATTTTCCCCATGCAGTAGTTACATCAAGCATTCTTGTAGGGAACAGCATCCACTGCATTAAAAGCACTGCTGGTCCGTGGCAGAGTAGCCTCCAACTGCTGCAGAAGCAGCCTTAGCATCAGCAACACATTCTTCTTGCTCACTGAATACAGAAGGTCGCTCATAATAGTAAGTAAAGCAGCACTTCATTCGGTAGGGGATGCGGGGGATATGGGAAGAAAATAAGATCCAAGCTGCTGAAGTGATTAATGTGGCTGCTTATGATGAAGGAAATGAAGTGTAGAAATCTGGGTAAGCAATGACCGCTCCAGGAGAACGAATTTCATTGGAACTACAGAACAAACGGATATGCCGACCTCTCGCCAGTTACTGCTGGAGTTTTAAAGCAAGCCCTGGGATAGCGTTTAAAGTTTTGCTCTCTCGTTGATTGACGGCTGCACGGAGTTTCCAGCGCCAGCATAAGAAGGCTCTGCTGGGAGACGCACAACTGCCGCCACCTGTTCATTTTTAATGCTGAGACAACTTAGAGAGAAATTTGAATGAATGGGTTTCAGTAGCACATTTAGCACTGCCCATTAAGCATGAGTGAGACAGAGAAGGATGGAGTTCACCGATATACATGCTGACGTGCATTTCTATGCAGGCAGAGTATGTTCCGTTTCTGCATAACAAGACCTCGACAGTACTGCTGATTCGGGTAACAGCTGTTTGCAGAAAGATTGGTGTATCCCCACGCCCATCTTCTATCCATGACACTTACCGGGGCCCCATTACTGCAGTATCTGAGTGCATCTCACTTGTTACTGTATTTATCCTCACAACATCCCTGAGCAGCCGGGAAGCGCTGTTATCCCAGGTGGGGAACCAAGGGCCGGAATGTTTAAAGTATTTAGGCACCTAAAGATGCAGAAGGTGCTTCGTGGGATTTTCAAAGGCCCCATAGGCACCTAACTCCCACTGAAAGCCCTTGAGGAGAGGTCTTTGCCCTATAAACTCATATGCTTTAGGGCAGGGGTTTTCATACTTTTTGTATTGTGACCCCTTTCACACAGCAAGCCTCTGACTGTGCCCCCCCTTATAAATTAAAAATGGGGGGGATTCATTTAATTTAATGGGGGCTCAGGGATGTCAGCCCCACAGAGCTGACAGTTCGCGACCCCCAGTTTGAGAACCCCTGCATTAGGGCAAAAGCAGCTCCAGTGAAGTGGTGTCTGGGGAAAGCAGTAGAGTCTCCAGGCCTGCTTCTGATCTTGCTTTTACACCAGGATAACGGCATTCTCACTTCACACTGGTGTAAGTAGGATCAGAATCAGGCCCTCAAGAGCCCTCAGCACAAAAGCAAAAGAAAAAAAAATGAAGGGCGTAACTGGCATGTTCCCTAACTGATGGAAAACGTAAGAGGAAGAGCAAACAATGAAGAACTCTAGTGTCTCTACTGCTGTAAGTGCAGGCTTACCCACAGCCTGGCAGGTTGGAATCCTACAGCAAGCTCCACAGAGCAGCCCTGGAAAACAAATGTTGATTCTGAATGATCCGCTCATCGCTAAATCATTTCCTATCATTATTAGCCTCCAAATTGGTTCTGCTCTGGGAGACTGAATAAGGTTTTAACTCAGAGGAAAGCAGTGTGTGTCTTAAACGGGTGCTTCAAATGAAAGTATTCTGTAAACATTACTCAAACCCCTTCTTGTGCATAAATCCCCAGCTGCCCTGCTTGGCTTTGCATAGATTTTCTGCTGCTGGTTTAAAGACAGGTGTCTGAGGGATTCATTCAGGAGATCTAAAATAAATCATTCAATAAACCTTCTGCAATCCTGAGTGCCAAAAATTAGTAGGGTGATTCTTTTCTCACTTCCACCAGCATAAAGTCCTCCGAGGGCAGGGTGACCAGAGAGCAAGTGTGAAAAATCGGAACGCTTTTTTTTCCAGGGGTGGGGGTATAGCTGCATATATAAAACAAAGCCCCTAATATCAGGATGGTCCCAATAATATCAAATGGGTGCGAGAGGAGAATTGGACCCAGAGACCAGAATCTAAATACAAACGTGTATTCGTAAAGCACAGGCTTCTTTTCACTGAAAGAGTCACAGTTTGTAATGACATCACTCACATTCGTTTACACAGATTTAAGGGTCTCCGATATCTTTGGCTTAAGTCTGATTTTTTAAAAAAAGTTAAATGGATGTCTCTCAGTTCGCGGAGCAGCTGGAATAAGATGGTCGCAGCCTCTGCTAATGAGTAGGAGGACATAGGGAAATGCTGTAATGAAATACCCACGGCTGACCCACGTCAGCTGACTCGGGCTTGCAGGGCCCTTTAATTGCACTGTAGACATTCAGACTCAGGCTGGAGCCTGGGCTCTGGGACTCTCCCTCGTCCCAGGGTCCCAGAGCCCGGGCACCAGCCTGAGCCTGAAAATCGACACTGCACTTAAACAGCCCCAGAGCCCCAGCACTGCGAGCCCGGGTCAGTTGACCCGGGCCAGTTGCGGGTGTTGAATTGCAGTACAGTAACTCCTCACTTAAAGTCGCCCCGTTGTTTCGTTGCTGATCAGTTAGGGAACATGCTCGTTTAAAGTTGTGCAGTGCTCCCTTCTAACGTCGTTTGGCAGCCGCCTGCTTTGTCTACTGCTTGCAGGAAGAGCAGCCCGTTGCAGCTGGCTGGTGGGGGCTTGGAACCAGGGTGGACCGGCAGCCCCCCTATCAGCTCCCCGCTCCCCTAAGTTCCCTGTGCAGCAGCTGCCTGCAGTTCAGCTGTGTCCCTCCCCCCACTGCCATGTGCTGCTCCTGCCCTCTGCCTTGGAGCTGCTCCCCGAGACTCCTGCTTGCTGTGTGGGAGGGAGGGAAGGAAGAGGGGGGCTAATGTCAGGGTGTCCTCCTCCCCCCTGCTCCTGCACCCCGCTCACCCCATCTTCCATAGAGCCGGGGGGACACACCAGGGCTCAGGACGGAGGGCGCTAGCAGCAGCTGCAGTCTCAGCAAGCTGATCTAATTAACAAGGCCGTCAGAGTACTTAAAGGGGAAATGCGCATCTCTCCCTCCATTCCTGCTGCCTTGTAGAGTGAGAGCGTTAACCCTTGAGGGCTCAGCCAATTGCTAGTTCATCATCTAGCAGTAAGGGAAATATCCCACCTTCTGACTTGTCCACCGCAACCAAGCTTCACAATCATCATCACTGTGTACCAGTATTAAATTGTTTGTTTAAAACTGTGTGTGTGTGTGTGTGTGTGTGTGTAGTCTTTTGTCTGGTGAAAAAAATTTCCCTGGAACCTAACCCCCTCGTTTACATTAATTCTTATGGGGAAATTGGATTCACTTAACATCGTTTTGCTTAAAGTCGCATTTTTCAGGAACAGAACTACACCGTTAAGTGAGGAGTTACTGTATAGACAGACCCATTGTAACTGCCTTAGGGCAGCATAGCAGGGAGCACGAGAGTAGAAAGAACCAGTGGAAAAGCAGACCAGCCTGTTGGGAAGAAGGAGCAGCTGTTTTTCTGCAGACCTGCCCATGGCAGCGTCTCCTTGTTAACAGCAGTGCTTGTCGGGTGGGGCTCCACAGGGCTTTGGGGTGAATCAGAGCCAGGGGACAGCCATTTTGGGTTGCTTTCTCCCTGGCACTGCAGCAGCGTTAATGTCTGTGCCTTCACGCCCGCTTGGGGAGGCAGGTGAAACTAATAGCAAGAAGACTGCTGAGCCTATGGCTTCACTGACAAAAGAGGTGTATTTGTACTGTAGATAACTAACCCATGGTAGCTATCACAGTATAAACACAGTTCAGACAACGCTCTTTAGTTTTACTGGGAGAAGCTAGGCAAGGTCCGCCACAGGCTTAGGGTAGGCAGGGGTAGTGCCGACCTCGCCTAGCTCTCTGACTGAACACTGGGATTTTACAGTGAGATAACTAGCACCGGTTTGTTAGCTTGCTATAAAAAATACACCTTTGCATCAATGGAGACAGAGCTTTAGTGAGCCATGCAGCCTAAGGAGCAGGAGAGGGGGCCCACCCACCACAGTTCTCCTGAGAGCCTGGAGGACCATGCAAGACTGAAGTGTATGCCCTGTACCCACTGTGCAAGGCAGCTAACCCCCTTTTGAGATCAGAATGCTTCTGAACCTGCAGGAGCTTTCATCGGTTGAGCGGTTAAAGCACTAGGCCCGCCCATTCCTGTGGGGTTTTGACAAGTGGGGACAAGCAGCCCTTAATCTCTTCCTAGCTCCGAACAGCTGAACATTCCCCAAGGGTTTTCATTTCAAGGCCCTCCTGAGTTCTAATCCTTGTTCACAGCCTTGGGCAAGTCATTTAGACCTTTCTACTGCAGTATTCCCATTACTTAAATAAACCTAACACTTCCCTGCCTCGCAGAGATGTCACGAGGATTGGCTTGTTCATGTTTGTATGGTGATTTGAGGATGCAAAGTGTTATGTAAGTGATAAGTATTAGAATTATAACGTTTTGCTATTATGCCCAGGTTGTGGTATTGATTATTTAACAGATGTCTGAACTTGTGAGAACAGCGAGCAAACTGATCAGCCTGCGAAGCTGAGTTTCCGGTGCCTTGCACCTTGTTCCTTCATCTACATCTGGGCAAAGTAGGTGGGAAATGCTACCAGATTAGAATGGTAAAGTTTTATACCCACTTTGTACATGGAGTCTTGCCACTAACCTCAATGGGCTTTGGATCGGGCCCTCAATGAGTACCTAAGGTGCAAGGCATTGGGGAACCGAGCGGGGTGAGAAGAAACGCTCAGATTGAACATCAAAGTGCAGCTGGTGATATAATCCCATCTTGACTGCATTACAGACTCGAGTCACCCACACGCTCTTTGGTGATGGAGGCTCCAAAGGGAATCGAAATTAACGCAGAGGCTGGCAACATGGAAGCCACATGCAGGACGGAGCTGAGGCTGGAATCAAAAGATGGAGAGGTAGGAAATGGAAAAGGAACCCTAAACCAAAACCAACCTGCAGATTTATAACTGCCTCATCCACTTAGCAACCCCCTTTCACACAGTGGTTTAAAAACAATGGTGAAGCTGGCCCAGATACGATAGCAGTGACTGAACACATTGTGTGCAAACTAGATTCCCTCCATGGAGAATGCTCAGCTGATTCATTATTTTTAAAGTGCTTGGATAATAGCATCTGTTGTACAAGGAGATTTATGCAGCTGTAAAATTGCACAATACTCCTAAATTCTCTGTTTGGCTGTCAGTTTAAAATGAGATTTACTTGGCTAACATAATTCAATCTTAGATCATGAATTTTGCAACGAGAGGCGCTTAATTCACCTGTATAGGTCTGCAAAGCTTTTGTAACCGGCTGTTTTGATTTTTGAGGGAATAGCGTCAGGAAAAGTTAGACAGCTACATCAGTTAACTACCAGAAGGAAAAAAGAGGGTTAAAAATGGGAAAAACCTAGAATTGGGTGGAAATTTTCAGATTAATAGTTTATTTTCCCCCCAAAAATGCACTTTGGGGTAAATTGAAACTGCAAAATCAGGTTGAACTTGGCAAATAGTTTTGGCCCCCCCAAAAAAGGAAAATATTTTTGAAAGAGCTGAAACATTTTGTTTCAACATTTTCTAAATGAAACATTTCAACTTCTCATTTTGAAATGATGTTTCATTTTAAAGTTAGCTAGATTTATTTTTAAAAATGTGTCATTACAGCTGCCACTGCTCCCCCCCCGGACCCATTTGCATGAAAAATTCTATTGCTCGCATCTCAATTTTGCAATGAAAGTTATTAATTTAGCAATTAAAGATTACGACCCATTACTAATTCTCTCTCTGTCTCTCTCTCCCCACACCTCACTTCAGATTACGCTGAATGCTGCAAATATCAGACTACCTAGATTGCCTCTAGCATCCCACTCCTCTACTGGATCCAGGCAAAAAATCTACGAGCTGTGTGTGTGTTCCAATGGGAGGTTATTCCTGTCTCAGGCAGGAGCTAGTTCCACCTGCCAAATAAACACAAGCATCTGTTCTTAAGAGACGGTTCGCAGCAGGCATTGCAGGCAGCACAAAGGCCCTGTTCTGGTCTCACAGATAGCCGCTGCCAACTATTTTTGCTAGAACCCAGAAAGCCTATCAAAGACTTTTTTGTGTGTGTGCGCGTGTGTGAATATATATATATATATGAATATATATATATAAAAAGATATATATATATCCTCTGTGTAAAATGATGTTTCAGTACAATGAATCCCAGGGTGACCCTATTACATTCTGTTAAATTGGACTCACTACTCCCTGAACCCTTTTGTATTAATATAGTCTAATGGTCCTCCCTTATTACTCACCGTCTCCTCATGGCAATGAGAACAATGTCTGATTCAGTACATGAACTGACGTACTCCTGGCATCATGCAAGAGGAGAACAACAACTCTGATCATTTTTGCACCATTAAAAATCAGTGGCAACAGAATGGCCAGCAAGGCAGAGCAAATGGCCTCGAGAACTCCAAGACGCCTGTCACTAAATTACACTCTATTTTAAATCTAAAGTAGAGCAGCCTAATTGGGAGACGCTACACTGCCCACCAGGAAAACTGGGTTTGATTCCCAGTGCTGGTCTCCCACCCCTTAGCCTTGGGAAGCAGGGAATATAGGCCCCGATCCTGTTCTCGGTGGAGTAAATGGCAAAACTCCCATTGACTTAAGTGGTGCTGGATCAGGCCCAGAGAAGGTAGAGAATAGCATGCATCATTCAGCTGTGAAGCACCCTGCCAGTGAAGGGGCGATGTTTAATGGGCTCTGAAGGGAACCCCTTTCAGTCCTCCTTGGCAGATAGAGGTATAAAAGATCAGGGAATTTGACATGTACATGGGGGTCACTGCCTCTGGGAGAAAAATCAAATTCAGGCTAATTCTGTTTTCCTGGGGCTTACAATAGTGATCCCTGTTTATGTAACTCACATTTGATTACGTTACTTTGCATCAACAGGAAAACTAACTGTGCGAATGCCACAGCCCCCGTTAAGAAAAAAAAAAAAAAAAGCTTTAATTAAAAAAAAAAAAAAAGCCTGAGAAAAATTGTTGCAATTACAAAAATACCAGGTCTACATAGCCATCAAGTGTTCTAGTTCACCTTAGAGCATTCAGTCCCACACTCTAGGAGTCTGGGGTAATTCTGCTTTTAAAATAAACCACCTCTCTTTCTCTCTCACACACACACACACACACACACACACACTCTCTCTCTCTCTGAGAGACAGTGAAACTCACACAAAAGAGAAGTATTATCCAAATTCTCTGCAGGGATTTTTTTTTTTTAAACAGGGAGGACAGTCTGAAGTCACTCACTTTTTATGGAAATTGCAAATATCAGAGATGCTGATTATGAAACAGGACTTTTAAAAAAGGTTTTATAAAGATCATGACCAAATAAGGTCATGGAAAAGTAAGGCTTTGGGCTCTGGGTCATGTTGAACTTGAACCCAAATAACTCAGTATTTGAATCTGGTTTTCATGAGTGGGGGTTTTTACCTCCATGAGGCATTTATGGGAAAGGAAAAATGTGAGATCTGATCTTGTCACACTGTTTCCATTATCCAAAAATGGGAATACCATGAGCAGTGTGGAGATCTCATAGTTACTGGGTTTCAACTCCATCAATGGCTCCCCCAGGCATTTAATAAGCCTGTGAAAAACATATATGGTAAATTTTTCAAAAGTGCCTAAGTCCTATTAACTTTCAATGAGACCTGGGTTGCTAAGGCATTTAAGTGCTTTTGAAAACTTTACCCCTATACAAATACTCAAACCTGTGCATACCTCTGGTGATACTGAGAATACATTGATTTCACTCAAACAATTTTCAAGATTAAATATCACAAAAACAAAATGTTTAGAGACAGTTTGGCCAATTTCTACATGAGTCACTTGTATTTTCTTGGGGGCTCGAGAGTGCCAGGTTTCTGGGTTTTTTAAATGCGCATATAGGGCATAATTCAAAGCCAGCTGAAGTCAATGGAAAGACTCCCATTGACTTATATGGAACTTGGATCAGGCTGTTAGAAAAAAAACCTATCCCACGTCGTTCCTTCTGGTTGTTTTGCTCGCTAACAAAGCACACTTGAGGACACCCATAAAATTTTACACTTGACGGAGGTTGAAAATGATTAGTTCTACAATTTTCTTAGTGTTGCAGTTAGGTTAATTGTCAAATTCAAACTATTTGTTAATTAATGCAAAGGGTCACCCAGGATAACAATTGTATTGGGACATAGGACTATACCATCTCTGTTCAAAGAGGGGAAATTGTGCCTATGCCTTAAGTCAATGCACTCAGCAAGGAGAAGCACATCATATTTATCTTGTTATTAAAACTACTTTATTTTGTGGGGGGACAGTTGGAAGGGAGGGAGGCGGCTGTCAACAGATGTCATGGGAGCCGATGGTGCAACATGAAGCAGACTTAAGTGAAATCCATAAAGGCTGTGAGGGCTGCTGGAGTGAGTACAGACTTTTACCATATTAAATATAACAAAAGACAATGTATGTTACCTCCGGACCATAGCTGAAGTCCCACTCATAGCCCCAAGTGGAATACATTTACTGTAGTATTTTTTTCTCATTTCATTTTGTATTAGACAGTAATTCTCATCATATGCAAGGGCCGATTCATAAAAAAATTATTTGTCCAGGGTGAGCAAGGTTATCGCGAAGTTTGTGCTGCAGAAAGAGTGTATCGTGCCAAGAGCTGCTCTTATTTCACTTTTCTCCCCCAATGATTGATTCTAGTGCTAGTGAAAGGTGCTGGGTAGAGCACCAGAACTGGCATGGGAAGGGCTGGGGTAGCGTGTAGTTTCCTGTACTGCACTGCCAATATTCCTCAGCCTGGCCGAGCAGCTTCCACCCGTGTGTTGGAGGGGAGCTCAGTCTTTACCTTCATTCAGTCTTTGCCCTCCCTGCGGAACGGTTCAGTGCCATGTGCAGTGAGAGTTCTAGTGATGTAGATGCTTATCTACCGGAAACTAAACTGAGATCATCCTCCTCATTTCACCAAGGCCACGAGAGACCCTTGAGGCCATTCCGTCATTTACCAGCCTGAGCTGGATTTGAACTGATGACCGAAGTACCTGTCCCTATCACCATGACAGCTTGTTGTTAGTGCAGGTCCTCTTTCTCAGGTAAAAAGAGTACCTTCGTTCTGGATAAATGAGGAGAGCCCAACTTTGTATGAGTACGTAGAAAAGCGTGCGTTTCTAGCTTTTAAAATGTTAAATTACATGCTGTTGGGGAAAAAAAATCTCTTTGCTCTAACGGGTGAAATTCACCCCTGTGCAGACTTACGCACCTCTTCACTTCCACTTAAATCCTCACTTTGGGGCTTACGTGGTCTCCTAGACCTTGTGCTGTCCCCCTGCACAGTAGTCAGTTTCACCCAGGTAGAGAAAAGGTCTTCACTAAACAGAGTGTGTAAGTTCCTGCAGCTTCTGAGGAGCAATCGCTTTGCTCGGCAAAGGTTGAGGTAGGGTTAACACACTTAAGTTCAACAAAAGCGATGTACTGAACTAAAGCATCCCTGCCCAATGAGGATAGAATGTCTGGAATATAAAGCACCTTCGTGCAAGGTACAGTACATTTTGGGGGGTCATTTTTAGCACAGCGATGTTGCCAAGCAACTCCTGTATTAATGGGAGTCACGTGATTAAAAGAACCCTTGTGCCGTGACTTAAATTTTACCATTTCAGTGCTGATGGGAAGACAGGTCACACAAAATCACCTATTTCATTTCTTCCCTCTATTCATCTCCTAGAAAAGGATCCCCTTCCCACTCCCCTGGGGGATTCTCGTTTGCTTGAGAACAATGAAAACCTTTGCTTAAAAAGGGAAGGAATGTTACATGACACTAAACTCCAAGGGTGCCCGTTGGTTATTGTTAGGAGACAACAGTACTCTGTGGCCGGTAGTACTTTAGTAAATGGAGATCTAGTCAGTGCTGCAGTTGTTGACCATACAACACTGTGTGTCATTTGATAGGTTTAGTTTGCATATTTCTTTGACTAATTATTTTCACTGTATAAGATTGTTTCTGCCCATAGCCCGCTCATCTCCTAGGAGATCGCTACTCAAGACTTGCTTAGTTTCAATTTCATACACACAAACTGTCCACAGAAGTTACAAGAAAATTGCCAGCCAACAAACTGATATATTTCTTTATGAATCGGACCCACAATTTGGTTCAGTCGTCATCATTTGCCCATGAAGGGCTGGTATTTATCTCAAATAAGGGTTCCTTTTATCTCTCGCAACTTAGGACAGGCTGGGAGGGATAGGGAGCCGGCTTCTATTGAAGTCATTGGGATATATACCATTGACTTCAGTGCCTGCGGGATCCAGCCCAGGGTCTTTCTGGGTTCAGATTTAGGCCACTGAAGTCAATGGGAACACTGCCGTCTATGTCAGTTGTTGCAGGATTGAGGCCGGACTCAGAATTGTACACAATTCTGCACTGAAGCTATGTGCATTCAAAATACTTGCTAATCAAGGGACTGTGTTATTGTCAATATACCTTAGGCAACCATGAATACTAAAGCTAAAGATAAATGCTTTTATGTATTGTAACTCTTGACTTTAATAGAGCTTCAGTAACATGCTACATTTGCTTTAAATGCCACAGTTACTAAGTAGTAGAGAAAATGACTATTAGTGCTTGTCTTTACACAATACCTTATCCATATTTACTGTATGAACTCCCTGCCATAACAGGTATGTCAGGGCGGTCTTTAAAAACAAAAAGACTTTGCCATTAGCAACAACAGAGTTCCTAAAACTGATTATATATCTGCATCACTCTCCAAATTTCATTTGTTTAAAGTATGTATTATCCAGCCGTCAGCATAATTACTACATTGAGAGTTCAAATGAGATGTTAGCACTAAAGGAACTGTCATGCAAAGGGAAAGCCAGGGACTACACTAAGCTATATATTAGAACTCCCCTAGAAATTTTTAGAAGGTTAAAGGTTAGCGCAACTGTGGTCTATATTTGTTTCCTTCGATCAGGTGTTTTCAATCCGATTATTTTTTTAAACTTCAATACAAACGTGATACAGAAAATAAAAATTATGAACTTAAATGACCACCTGCAACATTCAGCATAACAAAATGATGTCTAAACCAGGCTAACCCTCCATTCCGTCTTCGAGACTGCTCCATTGTTAAAGAGGAAGATTCCTATGGCGCTTGGGAAGAGGTCAGGTTCGTTTGAGCCCCGTAGCCATGCAAAAGCTGAATGAAAAGGTCTGTAATTGTTGCACCCCTTGAATGTGCAGGGCTCTTAAGTGGAATTGGCTTTTGTTTGAATTGGGGGGGTTGGGGGTGTTTTTTTTAAATATTTGTTGTTATGGCTTTAAGTTTCATATCATAAAGGGGAGTGAGTCACAGACCAAAGACTGTTAGAAGTGCTGCCCCGCACCAACTGTGTTAACTTAATGGTGCTTATTGGAACTGGGCAGGAAACCCAGAGTTCATTGCATAGCTTCAGTGCACTAGACTAGAACAGAGGAAAACAAACTCAGTTAACAGGCGAAAGAAAGTAAGTGTCATATTCTGTGCTGCGTACAAAAGGCAAAGAGTGGTCTAAAACTGAAAGAAGAAAAAATGCAGTATTGAAGAAGGTTGTTAATATCACAACATTTCTGGTGGAGAGGGATGAATAAGCTAAATGTTGTTAGCTGCTCACGTGCATTTTCGCATTGATGTGTGTGGAACTCCGACAGCGCTAGTGAGACTTACCTGTGTAGATCAAGGAGAACCCTAAGCTTACGCTTCAGTGATGACCCTGGTTCAAGTGATTGGCTTGCTGCCAAAAGGCCATCTGAAAGTTGGACTTATGAACACCTAATTGCACCTGCAGTGCAGAAGAGTAACTACGCCGTGACTGCTCAATCTTTAACACACATACAGTTAAACAGAATTACGGTTGGACTACTTTTTGGTAATTTTGTTGACTTTTTTTTAAGTTTGAAATTTTCTAATTCGAAAAACAAATGGGAAAAAAGCTGGTAATAGATTTGTGAAGCATTTTCAACCAGCCGGTTGGAAATTTTCAAATCTGGAAATTTCAAAATATTTTAAAATTTTGCAAAACAGAACATTCTTAAATCTTAATTTCTCTCCCTCCTTCCTTCCCCCCCGCCCATCTCTAAACAATTACCACTGAATATTTAAGCAGGCAAAAAACGCTATTGATGTGTGATTCAACTCAGTCCTTCCTTCCTCTCAGCACTCTATGCTTCTATAGAAACCCAACTACATAGGACTCATTGTTTTCACAGGTGACCTAACAGAGCTTATGGTTGAGACATGGGGAGGGTTAGAAATTGGCATGGCATTGATACCAGAGATTGGCCTACCCAGACAGCGATGAAGTAAGCAGGGGAAAAGCATGTTAATAGATAGCTCCTTAGTGATACTGATAAAGTGATTCTCTTTTGTCTGTTTACACTATTACCTTTAAATTAACAACACATTTTGGATGGATCTGATTGTGATTATATTCAATCCTTGTTTGAACCAACCTGAGATAATGCCACTGATCCCATTTAAAGGCTGTTGTCGGACCCATTCGTGTCAGAATGTTGGGGAGCTTGTTTAATGAGGACGACAAATTTCCATCCACATTAAACACAAGGGTTTGGGATTGGGTTAGAAAAATAGGACTAGCTGGTGTTTAAACAAACATTGTCATGTTTGAAAAGCATGTGGCAATATATATACAGCCCTGAAGCTTTCTAAAGCTAAGAATTTCCTAATCTGCAAATTGCATTCTACTGAGTCTTGTTTAAAAAAAAAAAAAGCCACTCTTTTTTTGCAGGAAAGGTGGATATTTAAAGCTCCAGGACTATATATCTACAGAGAAAGGGGGAAAATCCTCAATCATAATTCCACTGAGACTTCCCAGGCACCTCCCTTTAAACTAGAAGTGTGAGCCCCTGAACAATTAATTTTGCTACAGGTGTAATTCCTGTGTGAAAGTCAGCATCATTGTCACTTTCAGGAAATGTCTCATCTTATTTCAGAGTAGCAGCCGTGTTAGTCTGTATCCGCAAAAAGAACAGGAGTACTTGTGGCACCTTAGAGACTAACAAATTTATTAGAGCATAAGCTTTCGTGGGCTACAACCCACTTCTTCGGATGCATATATCATGAAGTGGGTTGTAGCCCACGAAAGCTTATGCTCTAATAAATTTGTTAGTCTCTAAGGTGCCACAAGTACTCCTGTTCTCATCTTATTGTTGCCACTCAGAGTCATCCAATGCCTATGATTTTCTGTCACAAGCCTTCTGGTAAGTTAATAGCATCATGCTACCTATTCAGAGGCGATTGGGATTTCCTCTGAAGCATCTCATCTCTTTTTGAAAAGGTGAGATTGTTAGTTTTTAATCAGGATAAAAATAAATAAAAGGAAAGGGCCCCTAAGGAGCTATATATAAGTTTTTGTCTTACAGTTAGTTCCACTTTGTCTTTCCACCATTGAGCGTGGGCATAGGAAGGAGAGATTTGTGCAAAAAAATATTAAATTTGCATTGTGCTCTGCTCCCAAATACTTAGGCTAGAGATATACTGCCTTAGAAAACAGGTCCTTTATCAGAAAGATTTTTTAAAAGGCACTTTGGGACCTTTCATCGGGTTCTCCTGGAACAGAAATGGTGAAACTTTCCAACACATTAGCCATCATAGGAATAAGCCCACTGCAAATCATGTCTCACGTGCATCTTTGCTTGTAACGGGAATTTAAAATTGCATTGTGCTCTTGCATTTCCCTGCCCCCCGCTCCAAAAGGCTTAACCACTGATAAGAAAGAAAGCATTTTGAAGCCTGCTGAGGCTTGCTAAACGCATTATCACTTTCTAAAGCAATGTGATTTCTATATTCCTTTAAAAGAGCTCTCATAATGGAACTCTTGAAGCAGGCTTGAATTGGAGAGCAAGAAAACCAATAATTTATGGGTGGTCCCATTTTTATGTATGATTGGATTACAGGAGCTGAAAAATCAAATGTTGCCATTCTGGTGCCGCCCACATCTTGTTAGCTACAGATATTTTTTCTCCTAAACTTTTTAACTAGATTTCTTATACAGTAGTGCCTACGGAGTAGGGAAATTAGCATCTTATTTTGAAAGAGAGTGGGCACGCCTGCTAATCATCCATATCTGGGTCCTCTTCAGTTCTAGATATGGACACTATTGTTATTCTAATTTGACTTTTTGGCAGTATTCATGATGTTGGTAACGGGAGTTAGACTAGATGACCCTTGCAGTCCCTTTTAACGCTATGATTCTATGTTACAGGTTCTATGCATACACAGCCTCAATGGTATAAATAGCAACCAGAAATACTATACCCCAGTCTTGCTGGCCATCTTGCACCCCTCTATGGTGACCAGAGAGCAAGTGGGAAAAATCGGGACGGGGTGGGGGGGTAATAGAAGCCTATAGAAGAAAAAGACCCAAAAATCGGGACTGTCCTTCTAAAATCGGGACATCTGGTCACCCTACACCCCTCAAGCATCTGTATTAATGCCAGAAGGTCCAACAGGGCCCGTTCTTAAAACTAACTCTGCTTTCTGCTCTAATTAAACTTCTATTCGGACAAACAGAAAAGTGCAGAAAGCTCAGGAAAAAGGAAAATGTTTCAAATACTCACCTAAGAACATGAACCCTGTGAAGTTTGGGGATTTTCTTTTTTTTTACTTGCCTCATCATGAACTAGCTGGGCCAGCAGTCTGAGATGGAAATAAGAATGAGGCTGATGTCGGGTGACTAGGTTGTAGCTTGGTAGCAGTTTACTAAGTCCTGCCCCACGCAGAGGGTCAGATTCTCAGCTGGAGCTAATGCCATCTTCCACCATTACTTCAGAGCTGTGCTGATTTGTACCAGCTGAGGCTCTGGCCCAGAAAGCCTGTCACCTTTGATGACGTTGAAAAGGAGATTTTTGCCACCTACTCTAAACTACAGCCTGCTAATCGACGTGTGGAAATGAAAAAAAAAAAATCAGATTAAACCAAAGTGGCAGAATGGTAGCTTATATTCCTTCTCCATCAGTGAGTCCCCACTGTCGTGTTGGGCCAATGAAAGAGCTCTCCTCTCAACTGCTGCTTCAACCCCCTATCTGAAAATCAAGGCATGTTCATTCTGCTTTCCACCTTATCACCAACAATCGGAGTTTAGCTGGCGATTGGGTAGATAATGTATGAGGCAGGGGAGAATACAGCTTGATCTTCTGCATCTATTTAGGCTCTGCTGTGCTGACGATGGTAAGAACTCGATTTAGGGCCAGTTCTGCAGCATTTACTGTGATGAGCTCTTACTCACATGAGCAGTTGCACTGATTTTGGTCGTTGTCCAGGGAACTATCTACTCCATTCACGTTTCTGGGGCTACTCAAGAGGTCATATGCTACTCAACATAAAGGAGGATTAATTCATTTACTAACAACGGAATAAATCTAGGACGCAGAAGGCACAAAAAGAACAGCAACCAGTCTCCAACATTCAGATCCAGATATGGATCCATATCTGGAGTTTGCAGAAGTTTGAGGCGTGGGGGCTTGGATCCAGTGTTCTAGTTCAGATGCATAATTTTTATTTTTAGTCATTTTTTCTGACCTTGCCCACCCTTTATTTTAATAATTTGCCTCATGCAAATTCTAGTGTTTGACAGCCCATAAAATTGTTTATGTTAACCCAGTAAAATGCTTTTCATAGGGAGAATTGACTGCAGGACATAGCCTCTGCTAGTTTAAACAATGATATTTATACTGTCAAAACCCCATTCATCTACGTCATCAGAAAGCATGTCGATAGCACTTTTTCATCTGTGATAGTAAAATGCTTTCTCTGACCTCTATCCCAATACCCACCAATGACCTTGATAGTGTAAACATGACAAAATGAGTGTAAACTCTTACCACGGTTATCATTAAGAAATTCATATTTGTTTGGCGCTTTTTTTAATTTATGTGTGTGGTTGTGTGAGAAAATATAAAGCTTTTTTTTTTATCAAATAACATCAATCCTTGCACACTCTATGCAAAATTTTGTAAGCATTGCAATAATGCTATGAATTACACAAGGAACTATTTTAACTTTATTACACTTTCTGTATAAAAAAAGATTTGTATTTAAATGATTTCAACTGCAAACTTGTAAAATATATTAATAAAATAATGATTGTTAAGAAGGGAAGAAATGTTCCTTTTTTTGCTGGGGGGAAAAGTGGTTGGGGGACATGTCACCAGTGAGCCTAAACTTTTATAGGTACCAAGGGTTTGCCAAGCAGGATGAGACCATCGCGTCCAATATCTTGTCTCTGATAGTGGCCAACACCAAATGCATCAGTGGAAGTTAAAAACTGCAATAGGTAGTTATAGGAAAACCTGTCTCCAGAAAACGTTTCCTCCTGACCCCCTTTATCTGGGCTTGGCTTATGACCTGAAGCAGGAGAGTTTATCTTCCTTCTAAAACTCTTGGTGTCTTTAAATCCTTACTATTATTTAAAAGTCTGGATCTTCTTGTTATCAATACAAATGTCCAATCCTTTTCTGAGTCTTGCTAATTGTATCGTGTGGCAACATATTCCACATGCCAACTATGCATTATTTGGAAAAAAAAAAATCCTTACGAATGTGCTTTCCCTCCCCCCCCACTGAACATCCCCTTTTTTTGGACTATGAGAAATAACTTCACCTGCTCTAGGAATCTTACATGTTGTGAGAAATTGCCTGAGCTTTCTCCAGTCACTTCTCAGCCTGATCATAGAGAAATGATGGACTCATCCAACAGTTTTAACGATCCAGCCAGTCGTGTTAAATGGCTAATTAATCAATTGTTCATGGGTGACTCCATTTCAGGCAAACACTTGTGAGAGAAATCATCCTGCTTGGGATTGCATTTTAAATGTGAATTTGTTTTCATTAAATTTCACCATTAAATGAAAGGATTGATTGGTGTTCGTTATCCAAACCAATAGCTAGAAATCAACCCATCTGAAGAATTGTGCATTCCTACCAGACTAAAAGTAAATGCAAGCTCTAATGATCACAGCCTCCGGATGTCCAAAATTCACAAGCTATCGCAGTTTATTAACCAAATTGTATTGGCTTCTGCAGGCGTCTATCAGTGGCGCTCCCTACTCCCGTTCATGCTCTGTCTTTAGTTAACAGTGGTTGAGTTGATTTTTCCACTTCAGCAGCTGCAGCTACAAGTCTTGCCCTCAGCTTAGAATTTTCAGCAAGTTGGCAAAGGAGTAATTTCTAGGTTCATTTTGACTCAAGACTGTGCTCCCAGTGACTTCATAGGAATGCCATATGTGATAGGCTGAGTGCCTCGGGCCCAATCCTGCTAGATGTGGCGTGCCCACAACTTCAACTGAAGTCAGTGGACCCGCTCCTGCTCCCACTAAAAAAATCAACACAGCAAATTAATCCAGGGGCAAATAGGACATGTAGCGGTCCTCGGCACAGGGGTGAATTTCACCCCTAACAGTAGCATAGTTCGCTGCAGTTGTTACAATACCATACTAGCTGAAAGAGTCTATCACAGCTTCAGTGACAGCAAAATGCCTCTTGGAAAATAAACCACTTTTTTTTTTTTTAATAATAAACCAAACATTTTGAGTAACTCTTGCAGTATATTCTGGATACTAAACAAAAGAGGGCAGCATGATACCAGGGAATATCAATATCTGATTGTCCACCAGACAATAGGATTCATACAACAGTAAAGCGCATGCCAGCAAAAGAAATTCAAGTCCCAGTCCTGCAGCTCTTAATCAGGCCAACCTCCACTGGCGTAAAGAGGAAACTGGGTGAAAAAGGCCACACGATCAGGCCCTGCAGCAGCTCGAGAACCAAGGAAAATTTGTCAGCAACTTCGTCAGTTCAGGGTAGGCTCAGCGGTGGCCTAACTCTGCTGCCATGAAAGTCAGTGGGAGTTTTAGTATTGATTTGCATAGCAGCAGAAGTAGACCAATGCTGAAACTCTTACCCATAATCTTCCCCTTCCAAGGAG